TACAAAGTTGAATCTAGATGCTTACTGCCACATGATCTATAACTGCCAGCCACATAGTCTTCAGACTCGAGTGTGATAGAAAATTAAAAATCATTATGGGATGCCTGGGTGGCTCAGTCAGTTAAGCATCTGCCTGCGAGTCAGGTCATGATCCTGGAGTCCTGGGATGGCACCTGGAGTCAGGCTTCCTGTTCAGTGGGGAGCCTTCTTCTCCCTCTCCCTCTAACACTCCCCCTGTTTGTGCTCTCTCTCTCTCTCTTTTTAAAGATTTTATTTATTTATTTGACAGAGATCACAAGTAGGCCGAGAGGCAAGCAGAGAAAGAGGAGGAAGCAGGCTCCCTGCTGAGCAGAGAGGCCAATGTGGGGTTCGATCCTAGGACCCTGGGATCATGACCTGAGCCGAAGGCAGAGGCTTTTATGTACTGAGCCTCCCAGGCGCCTCTCTCTCTCTTTTTACCTCTCTCCCAAAAAAATTATCACTCATTTCAGGTCATCCCAACTACTTAAGTAAGTATCTGTTATTTCTTTATAGTGTTTGTATGCTAAAGTTTAATAGTAGAAAATGTATTATAAATTCTGGCACATAATATACTTTTCATTTGCTTGGGGAAAGGGGATGGTCAGAAAAAAAGTAAGATCTGGTGACTTTTGGAGCTCTTAACTGTAATATTAGAAAAAAGGCTTAGTCATTGCTCTCCTCAATAATTCATGTATTATATTTTTGCTTTCAAGAAACTCATTGGACTCTCTGACTACAAAATATACATAATAAATAAATAGAAAATTTTAGGGAACCATCATGAAAGGGTTATCTAAATTCCATACAGGACAGTCTATACTTTATATATTACAAAAATTAGATAAGTCAAAATTAATTATTTAAAGTCAATATGAAAAGTAAACAAGGTTTTTTTTTATCTGTTGCTATGACTATTACAAAATAACTTTACTTGTATTTGTATACATTTATATTGACTATGTTAAGACAATTGATGAAAATTATTATACATTCACAAAGACTTTCGATAGTAATTGCACTTTACTCAAAAAGTAAAAGTAATAAATCAGAAATTTATATAAGGAATGCTTTAAAAAACTAAAGACCAGGCAAAATGCCCAGAATAACCAACACAATACTAAAAAAGAATAAAGTTAGAGGACTGATACTACCCAATTTCAAGACTTACTGTAAAGCTACAATAATCCGAACTGTGTGTTATTGGTGAAAGAATAGACAAAATGATCAATGGAACAGAATAGAGTCCAGAAACAGACCCACATAAATCATAGTCAATTGTTCTTTGACAAAGAACAAGAGCAATACAATGGAGCAAAGATAGTCTTTCCAACAAATGATGCTAGAACAACTGAATATCCATATAGAAAAGAAAAAAAAAAGAATCTATAAAGACCTTACATCTTTCACAAAAATAACTCAAAGCTTATCAAAAACCCAAAAGTAAAATCCAAAACTATATAATTATAAAATACCTAGAAGATAACATAGGAAAAATCTTAGATGACCTTGGATATGATGATGACTTTTTAGTCACAACACCAAAGGAATGATCCATGAAATAAGTAACTGCAAAACTAGATTGTTAAGAATTAAAAACTCTGTTTTGTGAAAGACAATGGCAAGAGAATGAGAAGACAAGGTACAGACTGGAAGAAAATATTTACAAAATAGACAGCTGTTAAAGGACTGTTATACAAAATATAAAAAACTCTTAACACTCAATGGTAAGAAAACAAACAACTTGACTTAAAACTGGGCCAAACACCTGAGCAGATGCAGACCAAAGAAATTAGACTGGTGGCAAGTAAGCCTAAGAAAGATGCCCCAGATCCATGCCATCAGGGAAATACAAATTAAAACAGTGAGATAACGGCCAAAACCGACAACACTGACAACACCAAAAGCTGACAAGGGTGTAGAGCAACAGGAACTTTTATTCATTGCTGGAGGGAATGCAAAATGGCATAGTCACTTTGGAAAACAGTTTGCAGTTTCTTCCCAAAGTAAACATACTCTTACCATACAATCCACCAAACTCCTCAGTATTTATCAAAGAAACTGGAAACTTATCTTCACACAGAAACCTGCACATGGACGTTTATTTGCAGCTTTATTTCCAATTGCCAAAACTGTGAAGTGATCAAATGTCCTTCAGTAGACAAATGGATAAATACACTGTGGCAGATCCAAACGATGAAATATTGTTCAGCACTAGAAGGAAATGAGCTATCAAGTCAAGAAAAAATGTGGAGGAAACTTAAATGCATATTACTAAAAGAAGCCAATTTGAAAAGACTACGTACTGTATAATTCCAGCTATATGACATTACGGAAAAGGCAAAACTTTAGAGACAGTAAAAAGATCAATGGTTGCAGAGACGGGGCTTGTGTGAAATGTTGAACAGTAACAGAGGCTCTTGAGGGCGTGGTGGTTAAAGCACTCTGTATGATACTACAGTGATGGATAAATGTTATACCTTAATTCAAATCCACAGAATGCGTAATGTCAAGAGTGAACTGTAACGCAAATGGTGGACTTTGGGTGACTATGATATGTTGACATAGGTTCATTAATAATAACAAAGGTACCACTCTGAGGGGGAATGTTGGTAATGGAGGAGTCTATGCATGTGTGGGAGCAGGGGGAGTATAGGAAGTTTCCCTTTCAGTATCTTTCTCTTAATTTTGCTCTAAAATTGCTCTAAAAATAAATTATTAAATAAATAAATAATAATGGATTATTTCATTGTTTTCTCCATCTTGCTTTGAGTGTTTATTTCCACATATAATTGCCTAGCTAAAACATCAAGAGATCTCTATTCGAATATACAAGACAAACATAAAATTACATTCAACTGGGAACTGAAGTTACAGTTTTCCCTTAGACTTTTCAATCAGTAATATTTGAATCCAAAATAATCAGAACAAATCCACATTTAATGTCATTTTCCTATGATTTTAATCATCTCAGTATGATGGAAAATGGAATAATGTTTAACTCTATCATTAACTGATATGAGTGTTTTCTTTTAAAATGCCTATTTTCAAATTCCTTATTCAAAGTGATTCAGAAACTTCTAGCTTGAAATTAGTAGGTAGATGAGTACTAAGCCTTCTTAAAAGTTAGTCTTTTATTCTTTCATTACCTAATCTATAATTTTTTACAATGAGAAACAAAGATGATAATTTGTTTTTAATTATGGTCATCCTACTTGTAGTAATGATTAAATTTCTGTTTCAGAACTAAATTTAATGCTTCCATTGCTAAAATATCATGAAAATTCCTGTGTGTTTATAATCACATAATTATAGGATTCCAAAGTGGGAAGATGGCTTTAGAATTATCCAAAAGAACATCTACCTTTTCTAGATAAAGGTATCAGAAAAATGTATTTTTAAGAGCAAATAAGTCATATTCAAATATCTTTTTGCCTTGTTTTTTGGTTCCTGTGTATCTTTTCCATGTTCCCTAAAAGCTCAGGTATTCAGGAAACATTTTGCTCTTGTTGTTGAAATGATTCTTATCTCCCCTCTTGAGGAAATGAGCCTATAGATTAATATGACTCTCTCATAGGTCCTTATTTTTTTTAAGATTATTTATTTATTTGAGAGAGAGAGAGTAAGTGAGAGAGAGGGCAAGAAAGAGCAGGGGAATGGGGCGGAGGGAGGAATAGACTCCCCACTGAGCAGGGAGCCTGACTTGGTCTGGGACTCTGGGATCATGACCTGAGCCAAAGGAGCCACTTAACTGACTGATGCCACCTTGGTGCCCCTTATAGGTCCTTCCTAATGCCTGTGTGCAATTATAAAGGAGTTTATGTCTCCTTTTTATCTCAAGGAAAATATTTTTTTTGAGATAGGATTTTAAATAATAAGAACTCTTGAAGGGGGAAAAAGGATGTGGAAAAAGAAAAAGAAGAGAGAAAAGAAAGAGTAGCAATTAAGAAAAAGGTGAAAGAGTAGAAGAATCTTATCACTTAAGTATTAGTCTTTTCGCATGAAAACAGCATGGTTTGAGTCCAGCTATAGGAAGCTGGAAGTCTCCACTCAACAAGTAAAAAGCTAGACAAAACAAAAATTCAACAACTCTTCTCAGATCCTTAAAAGAAGTGGGGTCACAAGAGAAACTGTTACCCCCCCACCCCCAAATGGAGGAGACCTACAAGAGAATACAGAAAATCACAACTTAAGGAAACAGAAACCCAATGACTGAAACCTTGAAGGGAACCAGTGAGGGTAAGGAAATCTGGACTACAGTTGAGAAATTGCTGGAAGCTCAGTGTGGGCAAGTTTGAGAGACAAAACTCCAGCGAGAAGTCTGGACCTCACACTTGTAAGAGTTTACCTTCTGGAATTTACCAGGTTCCAACAGTAAATACTGGAGAAAAATCCCTCATGTTTCTTTCAGTGGGAGGGGAAAAGGAGCCATTTTGAAATACTTCTGAGTATTCTGTTCTTACAAAGTCCTGCCCTAGGTGAAATGAGTTAACTGGAGCCTAGCCTGCTGGAGTTTTATTAGAACCTAGCTGACCTGAAGGAAGGTAAATACCCAACTCCAATGCACACTGGCCATCCTGTCTCAAATAAGGGGGTCGCAGGGGGATGGCAGGGGAGGATGAACAGTACTGATGAGTTCAGGTTTAGAGGCAGAGGTTCACTACAAGATTTAGATCTAATCATAAGAATATACTGTTTTCCCACATTGACACCTTACCAAAAATTTGCTGAAGGCTTATTTATACTAGTTCATTTTATCCAGCACATCATGCCTAGTTATCAAGGTGGGGAGGGTAGATACACTAAAGGCAAAAAACAAAACAAACAAAACAGTTTGAAGATACAGAGAATGCAATAGAACCAGACTCGGATAGCACAGGAAAAATGAAACTATCAGACCTAGAATTTAAAACGATGATTATTAATATCCTAAGGTATCTAAAGGATAAAGTAGACAGCATGTAAAAAAAAAAAAAAAAAAGGCAAGCTAAGCAGAGAGATAGAAATTCTAGAAAGGAAGAGATGCCAGAGAACAAAAACACTGTAGTGGAAATAGAGAATGCTTTTGACAGACTTGTTAGTACACTTCATCTGGTTGAGGAAAGAATCTCTGAGCTTAAAGATATCCCAATAGAAACTACCAAAACTGAAATCAAACCGAAAAAAAAAATTGTTTTAAAGATAAAAAAACAAAAACAAAAACCTCAATATCCAGTAACTGTGGGACAATTACATACTAACAACTGACACACTAGAAGAGAAAAAAGGAACAGATAATTTTTTTTGTTGTTGCTTTTGTTTGTTTAAAGATTTAGGAGCACCTGGGTAGCTCAGACCATTAAACATCCAACTCTTGAATTCGGCTAAGGGCATGACCTCAGGGTTGAGATCTGCTTAAGATTCCCTCTCTCCTTCTCCCCCCAGTCTCTCTCTCTTTCTCAAATAAATAAATCTTAAGAAAGATTTATTTTTAAACAAATTTTAGGTTTATAACAAAATTGAGAGCAAGGTATAATGACATCCCATATATGCCCTGACCCCACAAGAAGAATCTCCCCCATTATCAACATCACTTATTTGAAGAGTACATTTTTACCAAGGATGGACCTGTATTGACACATCATAATCATGCATAGTTCGTAGTTTATATTACAGCTCATTCTTGGTTGTACATTCTATAAGCTTGGACAAGTGTGTGCTGAGCATACATCCATCATTATTAAATCACACAGAGAATTTTTACTGCCCTAGAAATCCTCTGTATTCTGACTATTCATACGCACCTACCCACCTCTGCAAGAAGGCAACCACTGATCTTTTTCTCTACGTAGTTTTGCCTTTCCAGAACATAACATAATTAGAATCATGTGGTATGCAGCCTTTACACATTGGCTTCTTTCATTTATTAATATGCATTTAAGATTCCCCCATATCTTTTTATAGATTTATAATTAGTTTTCCTTTAGGTCTGAATAATATTCCATTGTCTGGATGGACTTTAGTTTATTTATATCCATTCATGCATTTTTTAAAAATTGGGATGCCTGCCTGGCTAAATGGAAGAGCATGCAACTCTTGATCTCAGGGTTTTGAGTTCAAGCCCCATGTTGGGTGTAGAGATTACATACATATGTTAGGGTCCATGATCAAAGGAATGAGACTGATATAAAGCAAGAATCAAACAAAGCTTTATTTCACGCCAAGCACCAAAAATCAAACTGACGGGTCAGGGCTGTTTCTTACGAAAAGACGACAACGATGATTCCGACAAGGTCACTCCCAAGAAGTCCGCTCCGGACGAGGCTGCTCCGCAGATGAGGCCACTCCCGGGTTGGAGCCGCTCCTAAGAAGAGGCCACTCCCAAGAAGGCTGCTGCTGGTGAGGTCGCTCCCCAGACAGGGCCGCTCCCAAGAAGAGGCCACTCTGGAGGAAGCCGCTCCCAGGACGAGGCCGCTCCCAACGATGAAGAGGCGATGACGACAGTGACGATGACAAGGAGGACAACACCAATGACACAGACTCTGCTCCCCATGACGCCACTCTGACAAGGCTGCTCCCCAGAAGAGGCCACCACTCTGGACGAGGCCACTCACCGACGAGGCCACTTCCCAGTCGAGGCCACTTCTAATGAGGTTGCTCCCTGGACAGGGCTGCTCCCCGGACAGGGCTGCTCCGGCGAGGCCGCTCTGGAGGAAGCCTCTTCCCTGATGATGCTGCTCCCACAGGGCTGCTCACTGAGGAGGCCTCTTCCCAGACGAAGCCATTCCCCGGAATGACACAGCTCCGGTGAGGCAATGGCTCAGGGTTCGCGGTGAGGTTGCTGGCGTCTAGGCCGTTCCCTGTGGCGCCACTGCTGAGGGTCGCGGTGGGTGGGCGGGGCCGCTGCCATGGGGGCCGCTGGTATCTCGGTGCCGCAGGCATCTCAGGGCCACAGGCGGTGCGGGACCGCTGGCATCAGGACCACTGGCATCTCGACCGCTGGCATCTCGGGGACCATTGGGACCATTGGCGGGTTGGGCTGCTGGGACCGCTGGCGTCTTGGGGCCGCTGGAGTCTCAGGGCTGCTGACATTGGGGCCGCTGGGACCACTGGCAGCTCGGGACCGCTGGCAGCTCTTATAGCTCTGACAAGAGCTGTTACAACTCTCACAGCTCTTACAAGAGCTGTTACAGCTCTCCTTCTGCTCCCTCGGACTCTCCTTCTTCTGCTCCTTCTTCTTCCTCCTTCTTCCTCTGACAGCTCTCTTTCTTCTTTCTTCAACAGCCTCGCAGACCAACCTTTATGGGGGTGTTTGAGCCCCGCCCCTACACAGGCGGCCAATTGAATCCCAATTCACCCCAGTGGATATGCATGCGTCCCATTGATTGGACGTCTCCACCTGGCCTGCCCCCCCTCCACATCCGGGGTCCACGAGCCAGTTCTGGGAGGGGCAGGCCTTTACACATACATACATATATACACAAAAAAATTAGTGATATACCCATTCATTTATTGAATGGCATCTTATTTGCTTCCAGATTTTGGCATTTATAAATAAAGGTGCTAAACACAGCTGTGTTCAGGTTTGTATGAATGTAAGTTTTTGAGGCCTTTGAGTAAATACCAACAAGTGCAATTACTGGATTGTATAGAATGGTTATATTTAGTTTTGTAATACAAATATAGACCATTTTACTTCTTCCTTTCCAATTTGGATGTTTTCTATTTTTTTTTTTTCCTTGCCTGATTATTCTGGCAAGGGGTTCCAGTATTATGACAAATACCAGAGATGAAGTGGGCAACCTTGCCTTGTTTTCTAATCTTAGAGGAAAAGCTTTCACTATTTATGCCTGAGTATGATCTTAACTGCCAGATTGTTATATATGATCTTTAAGTTTGTTCTCTCCATATCCAATTTGTTGATAGTTTTTTATCATGAAAAGATATTGCATTTTTTTAAATGATTTTTCTGTATTCATTGAGATAATCTTAAGATTTTTGTCTTTTATCTAACTAATGTGGCGTATCACATTTATTTATTGTATATGTTAACCTACCCTTTCCAAGGTATAAATCCAACATGATCATGGTGTATGATTCTGTATAATGTGCTGTTGAATTTTGTGTGCTTGTATATTGTTGAGAATTTTTGCCTCAAAACTCATCAAGGATATCTCGGCCAATAATTTTCTCTTTTGTAGTGTTCTTATCTGGCTTTGTTATCAGGGTAATGCTGGTGTTGTAAAATGAATTTGGGAGTATTTCCTCCTCCTCATTATTCTGGAAGAGTTTGAAAAAGGTTGGCACTATTCTTTTTTAAGTATTTCAAACAATTCATCAGTAAACACCCCGGTCCTACACTTTTCTTTGTTGAAAAATTTTTTATTACTGATTCAATTTGTTTACTCGTTAAGATATATATATATATATATATATATATATATATATATATATATATATTTTTTTTTTTTTTTTTGTCTTCATGACTCAGCCTTAGTGGGTTGTATACTTCTAGAAATTTATCCATGTCTTTTAGCTTACCCAATTTAGTGGTGTCTAACTGTTCCTAATAGTTTTATGATCCTCTGTCTTTCTAGGGAATCAGTTTTAAAGTCTCCTCTATCATTTCTAATTTTATTTGACTCTTCTCTTATTTTCTTAGTCTAGCTAATAGTTTGTCTAGTTTATTTATCTTCCCCAAAAAATAATCATTAGTTTTCTTGATCTTCTTTCTTCCTTTTGTAGTTTGTATTTCATTTATTTCTTCTCTGCTTTTTGCTATTTCTTCCTTTGTCTAACTTTTGAGTTTAGTTTGTTCTTCTTGTTCTAATTCCTTGATGTATAAAGTTATGTTGCTTATTTGAGGTCTTTCTTTTTTCTTAATGTAAACATTTATCACTATATATGGTTCTAGTAGAACTATTTTTCTATCTCTATATATAGTTCTAACCATATATATGGTTCTATTAGAACTAGTTTTACTGCATCTCAGATTTTAATATGGTGTTTCCATTTTCATTTGTTTCAACATATTTTTCTCTTTTGATTTCTTCTTTGACCCATTCAACCAAAATTGGACAGAAGAACGGAATACACATCTTTTCAAAGAAGGTATACAATGGCCAATGGGTACATCAAAAAAATCCTCAACATCACAGGCTCATGTATGAAAGTGTTGACTCTCTATATTGTATACCTGAGACAAATACTGTATGTTAACTAACTGGAATTTAAATAAAAACTTTTTTTACAGATTTTATTTATTTATTTGAGAGAGACAGGGAGAGAGAGAGAGGCAGAGGGGGAGAGAGAAAGCATGACTGGAGAGAGAGAAAGAGAGAGAGAGAAGCAAACTCCCTGCTGAGCAGGGAGCCCATAAGGGGCTGAACCTGAGATCATGACCTGAGCTGAAGGCAGACACTTAACTGCCTGAGCCACCCAGGCATACCTAAATAAAAACTTTTTTAAAAAGATGCTCCAGGTTTACACACTTCACAGCACTCACCATAGCACATACCCTCCCCAATGTCCATAACCCCACCCCCCTTCTCCCAACCCCCCTCCCCCCAGCAACCCTCAGTTTGTTTTGTGAGATTAAGAGTCACTTATGGTTTGTCTCCCTCCCAATCCCAACTTGTTTCATTTACTCTTCTCCTACCCCATTAACCCTCCATGTTGCATCTCCTCTCCCTCATATCAGGGAGATCATATGATAGTTGTCTTTCTCTGATTGACTTATTTCGCTAAGCATGATACCCTCTAGTTCCATCCATGTTGTCGCAAATGGCAAGATTTCATTTCTTTTGATGGCTGCATAGTATTCCATTGTGTATATATACCACTCTTCTTTATCCATTCGTCTGTTGATGGACATCTAGGTTCTTTCCATAGTTTGGCTATTGTAGACATTGCTGCTATAAACATTCGGGTGCACGTGCCCCTTCGGATCACTACGTTTGTATCTTTAGGGTAAATACCCAGCAGTGCAATTGCTGGGTCATAGGGTAGTTCTATTTTCAACATTTTGAGGAACCTCCATGCTGTTTTCCAGAGTGGTTGCATCAGCTTGCATTCCCACCAACAGTGTAGGAGGGTTCCCCTTTCTCCGCAGACCTGCACCCCTGGGGAAAAAATAAATATATGTTTAT